AAAATTATACTTTGGAAATTTCATCTGCTTCTGTAAAAAGGAAAACAAGTTATAGCATTTGTTTCTTTCTTTGTTTTAATCTTTGTAAACTGCCAACCCACCAAGTCATTTAAAAAAATAAAAATGGCCGTGCACAATAAAATCATTAAAACATCATAAATAAATAAAAATACACAACAAATGACCATGACTGAATCAAACGGATTCTCTAAAAACACGGAAAATGTTTGGCAAAACAGAAACACTTTCAATAGGTGACAAAATATTATCTATTATTCATCCCTAGCTTATGATATTTTTTCGTCTGATGACTGGTCGTTAAGAACATGTATAGTCTACGTATACTTTTACACATATTTAAGTTCTATATATTAGGTTTTTTAAAATCTAGCACTTATGGGTATCAAGGATTTTGGATCTATAAGCTAATCAGCCACTTTGATTTCTATATATAATCTTTCCCAATGATATTTGTGTTGCACAATGCTAATCTCTCTCAAATCCACAGTCTGAAAAAAATCAGAAAGCAAATGCTCAATTTATATTTTCTTTTTTGGACGGAGAAAAATGGACCCGCTTTGCTTAGATATGGAATTGCTCACGTATATTTGATTGTCTGGTGCTTACTGTTGCAGTCTACTGCACTGAAGTCAATGATACTGTTCCACATTGTAGTTTGTAGTTCTGGACTACAAACACAGAATCTAAATACAATATTGGCATAACAGGAATGCTTAAAGTTCTACTCTCTGATACAGCACATTATCTCAAACATTTATCTTACTCTTCCTATTTCAGTATTCCTATAACTTGAAAATAAGTTTACGTACAGGTATAGCTCACTGGCATGGCTTACGAGTCAGGGTGCAATGCTATGGCCCCTGGGAGTGTGAAATATCTGACATCAGAATCATCCTCTCTACAAGCTTGCTGGCTCCTCTAAAGACCCGGTCCAACCAATAATCCAAGTTGGTAGGGCTAGAAAGGCATATTCCAAGAATATGCTGAAAAGTAGCTAAGGTCTGTAGGATCCTAAGCCTCACTGGTTCCCCTGACCCACAATAATTTAAGCATGCTCTTGAGTGGGTGCAAACCTCTATTCTCCCAATGGTAGAGGGAAACAGTAAAAAAAACCAAAAAAAACCAATGGTTTCTCATCTCCCCGAGACCAGAAACAAACAGAGGAACATATAATGTTTCTTTGCCCTATCTGTTCACCCCTGCTAGTGAGACTGAACAGAATGCCTAGGCAGGCAGCATTTATTGACAGAAAAGAATATGTCATTCACAAAGTGCTAGAAATGCAGCTTGCTAATCTATCTATATATATATTCATGCAGAAGTGTGAAAATGCTTTTTGCACTGACCCTTTTTATATTGTCTCTTCATGTCTAAAGATGAACAATCAATTGCTTTTCCACCAACTTGTTAACAGGCATTAAATACGCATTTGAAACCAGCTCTGTTAAGGCTTAGCAGCTAAGATGAAATGCTGAAAGTATTCAAAAGTGAGGGAAGGCAGAAGCAACTTCTTCAACACATTATTCACAGAGGGACTTCCCAAAGCAGATGAGGAGCTGCCGGTAGAGTTACTTTTCCCTTCAAGTTATAGGCCGTTGTTAAGTGAATTAAATAAACATGCCTACTGTTCTTCCGCTTTGTCAAAATTTTTATATAGTCCAAGTTTGCAATTCTTAAAACACTTTCTCCACTTGCCAATAGCAGCACAATCCTATACGTATCTACTCAGAAGTAAGTTTTGAGTACATCCAGGTAGGGGACTTATCTCTGGAACCCCAAAATACTGCAGCCAATATGTGTAGGCAATGGTTAACTAGACAGACCTGGTAGGTTCTGATTCAGTATTAGGCAGTTTCCTATGTTTACTGAGTCTAATGGGGCCTACTCTCAGGAGAATGAGATCGTAGCCCAAGTAGTATGAAGACCGTGGTGCAGGTTATATGGAATATAGTACAGTAGTTCAAATTCCTCCCAGGAAATTACTATTCAAAAGGATTATGCTTTCTTGCATGAAAGAGTATTAAGTAATAATAATCTGTGGAAAGGTCAGCTTTTGGCAAAGGGATTCTCTGTTGACTGACCGCTTTGGGGTGGGGGCTAAAGTTGGTCTGCAGTGATGTAAAAAGCCGATTCTTTCATGTGGTGTGGCTTGGTCTATCCCCTGAGAGCAGTGGTAGAAGAGAATAGGGAGCCTTCTACCAGCTACGATACTTCCGTCACTGTTTTGTGCTCTGTGTCTGTCTGTTGAGGAAGTGGTTTGTCCTTCACTCATTTGTGCTGCAGTAGTGATCGCAGTAAGAGCTGGCACAGTTGCCACAGAGCCAGGAGGAGGCAAAAGCAAGCGAAACATCAGAGGGTCTTGATGTTTGTGCACAGAGGTAGGTTCCCTCCGTGATTATTTGATGACGCTGGAGCTTTTGGTGTGTTAGCACCTCCAGCAATATAAGAAAAACCAATCACACCTGAATGGTGGTGTGGCCAAACGATGGCGACCAGCAACTGGATTTTATTACACACACACACACACACACACACACACTATGTAGTACAGGGTGCAGCTTTCCTTGACCACTTTCATACCAGGCTTTCAAAAGCTATCACAACACTAGAACTTGGCAGTGGTAGGCCCCTGCTCCAGCTTCAACAAGTGATAAGGCCAGCTGGTCCGCCTGCTTCAAAGAGAGACCTGGTGGCCATAATCCATCAGCTCACTACTAAACAAATTATTTCCTAGAAGCCTGAGCAGCTTCAAAATGCAGTGGTCCACCTCCTTATGAGGATGGGTCACCAACGTTGCATTAGACCAGTGCTCCAAAATCTGCACTGGCTTCTTACTAACTTCTGGGAACAATTCAGCTTCCTGTTTCTAACAGATAATGCATTGGGCCTGCTCAGCATCTCTCCCTTATGCTTTCTAAGATCAATAGTGTGTGCTCTCCTTAAGTACCAAATGTGCACCCGATCAGGAACGCCTGGAGAAGTAGAGGAGTATCCTTGTTGACTACCCCACAAATATCATGCCAAATCTGCCAGAAGCTTGCAAAATCATAACTATTTCTTCCCATCTCCACCCCGCTCTAAAACTACTGTAAAATATTTTAATCTGGACTGTCCAAGAGGGACTTGGAATGAGCCAGTGGCATTTGTAAAATCTGTTGTAGCCTTTGTAATATTGCATTTGAGCAACTAAAATGTAAGCTGTATGTTACGTATTACTGCCCCACCTGTCATCTTTTGGGTGAAGTACACACAGCTTATTATGGGCTTAGGTATCTTTCTGTGGATTAATTATTATTATAATTAATGATACTTTCAAAAATGAAACAGAATGGCACTGGGCTATTAAGGAAAGGTGTGCCCTCATAATCATCACCCAGGCAGCGTTCCTCACTTTAAGTTGTATTTGTTGTTAAAAGAATCATTTGTGATCACAGTAAAAGAAACACAGCAAGATTTGTAGCAATTTCCCTTAAAACTGTCTGGGTGTAGGGGAACAGTCCTACAGGTTTGGGATGTTTTGCTGAAGGGGGCGGTGGGAAAGAGAGTCTATTTCCAAGTCCACTTTCCAAGAACTTTGCTTGCACAGCAGCTAGTATTGCGCTCCGATTAAGAAAATAAAGGAGGCGTTTTAAAAGCCTGTCTCTGGTATGCAGTTTGCGGTGATAATTAAGCAGAAAAAGAACCAACAACACGGAAGCGATTGGACGCGCGCTGCCATTCTACAAAATCAAATCTAAGAGCGGAAAAAAAGAACCACCCAAGTGCTGTTGCTCGAAAGGAGCCGAATAACTCCCCAGCCCAAGTCGCGAAGTAGTGCCGCGCAGCGCCAAAAACGCGCGTGGAAAGCTCCCGCAAGCAAGTGGGGGGAAACTCTTTCTCCCCCACCCATTCTAAGCAAAGTAACAGCCGGCTTCTGTGGTAGGTTTCAAAGGCGCGCCAGCATGTGCGCTTCTGGTCTGCCCGGCAACACACACCTTCTTCCATCGCCGTGTGTTGGAACTTTCTGTCTCTCTGCCTGCCTCTCCACCCAAGTCTCCGCGATCGGAAAAGGCTGTTCGGCTCCTCGTCCGCCCCGGGCCCGTAGGGAGGAGGCGGTTTTGTTTTGAGCTGGGCGGGGGGGAGGAAAAGGATGGAGAAGCCGTCCCTTTCTCTCCCATCTCCTCCGAGCTTAAAATATTGATCACCTTTGTTAGATCCCTTTTCGGAAAGTGCCCTGCTCGCTCATCCTCCCTGCCGCCTCCCCTCCCCCGCACCAGCCACGCATCTTCCTTTCCCGGGGTTTGAAGTGAGCACCAGCTGACAGCCAAGCATGTGGTGTATAAATATTGAAATAAACGAGCGGAATGCGGGGGGGGGGGGGAGGGAGAGAGAAGGGAGGGGGTGATCTACGGAAAGTGGGGGGAAGAGGGAAAGGAGAAGAAGATAAAGGGGGACAGAGCAGCCCTTCGTGCGCCTGCTGTTCCTGCGTGGGGCGCTGCTCTCCGGTGGTGGGGAAGGGGTGTGTGCGAGAAGCAGGATTTAGGAAAGGGGGGAGAGAAAAGAGGTGGTGGTGGAAGGGAAGATAATAGCATTTAAAACAACAACAAAACAACAACAACAACTGCACAATCCCAACAACAGTGATTAGCTCCTACCGGTCGCACAGGGACTGGGAGGGGATTGTGTGTGTGTCTCACCTGACTTCCTCCTTCCCCGGGGCGGCGAGGGAGGCAGAGAGAGAGAGGCAGGCGCGCACACAGCCAGCCAAGCGAGCCAGCCACTCTTTCCAAAAGCAGAAGCGTTCTCGCCCACCCTCGGGGAAAAAAGAGGGAGAGAAAGAAATAGCCCTGAGGGAAAGCGAGGAGAAGGGGGAACGGCAGGCGGAAGTAAGCAAGGAAGAGAGAGAGAGAGAGAGAGAGAGAGAAGGGAGAAGTAAATAAATCAGTCGGCAGCCAAGCTTCGACCCTCTTCGCCTTTTGCTCCGTGGAACCCGCGGGCAGCTTCTCCCCTCGCGCCAACCCCGAGAGCGGCGGCGGCGGCAGCAGAACAGCAGCAACCGGCGGCGGCGGCGGCGGCAGCAGCTTCACCTCGGCTCCTGCACCGACGTGGGCCAGCCTCCGCAAGGGGGAGAGCCAGCGAGCGCAGACGGCCCCGGCCGAGCCTCTCGTGCCTCCGAAGCGTCTTCGCCAGAGCAGGAGGAGGCGAAGCGGGGAGGAGAGGAAAACAACCACAACAACCACCACAAGAGAGAGGAGAGGGAGAGGGTGGGGGAAGAAGAGAGAGAGACGCGTCCCCGCGGACTGGGCTGAGAACTGCGCGTAAAGCAAGAGCCCCGCGGTTTTTTTGGACACTTCGCTCGCCCTGCTGCCTGGCGGGAGAGTGCCCAAAGCAGGCGGGCGCCGCCTTCTCGTCGTCGTCTTCCTCCTCCTCGCCGAGCAGTTCAAGAGTGAGGGGGGGAGGGCGAGTGGTTGTGTGCGTGCGTGTGTGTTTGTGTGTCTGCATGTGTCTATATATGCGGTGTCTGTGTGTGTCTGCGCGCGCCCCCTCCTCCACCACCACGACGTCGTCCTCCTCCTCCTCCTCTCCGCTCGCGCTCCTTCCTTTAAACGCCCACTCCCGATGGGTGAAAAGACAACTTGAAGTTCAGTGCAATTAACTTCGCCGGCGCCTGGGAAGCTGAAGGTGTCGCCCAGCCTCGCCCGCCCTCTCGCTGCGCTCTCATGAGTGAGTTTTCCGTCTTCCTTCCTTTTCGCCTCGGCCGCGCCTGCTCGCTCGCTCGCTCGCTCGCTTACAGAAAGCCCAAGTTTTCATTCTAGGGGGGACTTGGAATTCGGTGTGGGAATGGATTTGGAAAAGCAGGATTTTGTTGTTCTGGGTGGGTTCCTTGCTTTTCATTTAACCGCAGCCGAGTTCCTGGTAGGGACACGCTCTCCGTCTAATAATTCCTTTTTACACTCGTCCTGTTTCATCGGGGGGAGCGAGTGGCTTCCACCACGCGCGCACGGACACCTGCTTTATTCACACGCGTGCACACACACACACATAGGGGCGGGCGGGAGCGCGCGCGCGCCTGCCTTTTCCGAGTCAAGAAGTTGCTGGCGAGGGTCGCTGGGAAGTTTGCCTCAACTTCTTGAACCCTCGACCCGGAGTTTTGCCTCAGTTCAGCAGAAGTTTACACTTCTGCGGCCCGGGGATGCCTGCCAGGGGGGATGCTCGAGGGAGCAGCAGCAGGAGGTGGAGGTGGTGGGGAAAGTCAGCGGCGCAGGAGAGGGGTGTGCGCGCGCGAAAGGGCGGCGGCGGCGGCGCACTCTGCTCCGCCGCCCTCCGCCGCGTGGAAGTGAGGGAGTTTTAAAAGGGCTTCGTCCCGAGCTGCTGCGAGGAGCGGAAGGAGAGCAGGAAGATGCCGGACCGGGAAGAGGTCAGCTGGAGATTCGTCTTGGCGGGAAGGGCAGCAGTTCTCGTGAGGGGCGGTGGTGGTGGGTCCGCTGGCCTGCCGGTGACCTTTGGAGGCGGAGGCGGCTCCCCACACAGGTGTACTTTCTCTCTCTCCACGTGAGGTCCTCCTCTTTCCCCTGGCAGAATCCTGCTCTTTTTCTTTTAAAGAACTGGGTGGTCCCTGAAACGGCATTAAAGAGGAAATGTAATTTCATTTTTGGTATTAACCTATAAGGGAAGCTTGCGCTGGGAAATCTCGGAAGGGGGTCAGCTGGAGCGCCTCACCTTGCCCCAAAAGTCGCCCCGTCCGGGTCCTTTCCTTCCACCCCATTCCCACCCCCCATCCCCTCGCTCGCAAAGCATTAGTTGGTCACACGGAACCATAGTCACTCGAGGCATATATTATTAAGTTGTATCATAGTAATTAGGTGTTCTTTAAAGTCCGAGCCAGAATTCGGCTTGCTCGCTTGAGCTCCCTATCTCTTGAGATCTGCCTCTGAAAAGCTTTGGCAGTCACAGCTTAAAACTTGTGCCTGAGCTGAAGTTTCTGTGGCGGAGAGATCCCGTGGCTTCTTATCGAAGGCAGTTTCAGCCTAAGTTTCATTCAGGTTAGTAGTTCTAAAGTGAATTTGTTGGGCAGAGCATCCTTAACTTCAGAGTGAAGAATACCAAGGTGAAAGCATATGATGCATTAACCGACCGAAGGAGATGATTCAGAAGCCAACCTTTATTTCTCCTGAGCATTAGTTTGGTCTAGTACATTCATATACTTGTCTGCTTCACTCTGCTGGCAAACATTAGCATTCAAGCTTACATTTTTGACAAATGTGCAGACAGGAATAGCATGAATAGACATCTTAAATATTAACAACCTAAGCATCTGTTGTGAAACAAATTTAATATATTTACTCTGTTTTTCTCACATTGTTAAGAAAGGTTACAATATGTGCAAAATTGCAACTTTAGTTGGCAAAAGGAATTGACTGGATATTTTCCCTCCCGCTGTGTCTTCCAGAGTGTTTGAAACAATCGCTAGATATGAGGATCTTAATTTGGGCCATTGTTTTGAATAGAAAATGTGGGGAGCAATTCATGTTCCGCAGATGCATGAATATAGCTTAATAAGCTTAGGCATGTTATAAAACTTGCTTTTCTAATCTGTTCTGACACTTAGTTGTGTTTCAAATACATCAGTTGTCAATTAGAAACAACAGCACATACACAGAATGTGAAAAATGCAGATACACAAGAAAGCGTTCTGTGTTTGCATACTTAGATATATAAAGTGTGTCACATTATGTAAAGTCATTATTTGCAGTTGTTTCTTCCCCTTGCCTCAGATAACTAATGAACAAAAATTATTCCAAAGTCTGTTCCAAATATACTAATAAAAAAGGTAGCAAATACATCCAAAGCCATCACATTCCTTTTGTTTTCCCCAGAAGTTAAAAATAATTCTTTGTGTTAAAATAAGTATATTCAAGCCAAAGCATGTAAATCGAATGTGCTCAGTTCATGGGGCCTAAAAAGGAACTTTCCGTTTTCATATGCTTAACTATTGATTTTTTAAATTGCATAGTAATTCCTTAGAGGGTTAATCTTGTATCTCCTAACGAGAAAAGTAAGTTCAGGATCCTTACGTACATTATGGTAGAATCATCCCTGTATGCAGTGAGAGTACATTAATCTGATGGAGAAAACATGCCACATTATTCAAATGCTGAATTGGAATCTGACACAGAGAAAAGGTTTTTGGCATGCCAGGTTATGACTTGTGTTAGAGGCCCATGAGGTCAGCTGACAAGCACCTGTTCTGTATCAGAAATCTTATCATTACAAATATTGTTAAGCGAAGCACTACCTGTGCAGTGTTGCAGGTATGCCTGTAATGCAAAATCCCTAATGACAGGTGGAATCTACAGCACTTATATAACTTGTACAGAGAAATCATTAAATATGTATAATTTCATTTTTGGAATGCTTCAAAGTGCATTCAGAAAAGCTAACTATATTAACTGTTCCAATTTCTAGAAAAGGCACAGTTTTGCCAGATTTCTAAAATAAGAAATAAATAGAAGAGCACAAGATCATGGCATATTTCTTTTATTTAACATTATGTGTGAGGAAGAACTTGGGTTGGTTTCTCAGTGTGACTAATATATACTGTAGTAAAGAACTTGTAACTTATCAGTATTAGAAACTATTACAGAAGGCTACATTCTAAGAATGACTAGTCTTATGTTGGAAATATATCTGTTTTTAGGGACACTGAGCTACAGCTGCTACTAATTTTATAAATACATATTTGCTGACATGTTAATTAAACATTAGAGTTAAACATAAAATAAATTTCTTTCTTCTTGTTAGTAGATACAGTGCGTGTTTTACAAGCTCCATTACAACGTCTTGATTCTTCCATATTTCTAAATGTCTGCTGAAATATTTCACATTTCTAACTGCCATCATCACATTTTAAAGCAGCAATCCTTTTCAGGGTTGACGGAATACTTCTGTGTTTAAGACACAAGCCTCAAGTCTTTAGCTACCTGGGCAGCTGGGAGATTTCCCCTTTTGAGCTCAGCTATGGAACAGAATGGATAGTTTTATTGGCATTTCTGAAGTCAAGTACATTAATGTTCATTAATGCTACCTGTCTAGAACACAAGGGTGTATCTTCTGCCAAAAGTCCCTTTTGCTGTAATGGGTATGAGACTTCAATAATCTTCTCCCTTTCTGGAATCAACACTTTTGACTTAAAGTCACAATATACCTACTTTTTATTTGCATTGTGTTAAGCTGACAGAACAGGAAAGGAAAAATATTACTTACTTTCCAGGGGTAAATACCAGTTTATAAGTGAGTGCATGTATTTATATCCCTGTCGCCACTAAATAATGACTCCCGATTCCATTTTATTATCAACCTGGCAGTATTATCCATGGCAACTGAGTCTTCCTTGTTAGCATATGGAGGGAAAAAAGTTTTATCATTTGGGCCGGGGCAACTTAAAGGAAAACTCCATGCTGCTTTCTGAGGCATGCTGGTGCCAATTTTAAAGAAGCAGTATCTAGTTTTATATGGTAAACACAGGATAAAATGCTGTTTCTGAAAAGTAATATCCATAGCAAGCTGCACAGAGCATCCATTTGAGCTGTTGACTATAAGGGCAGAAGCATATTATTAATAACTGAAAGCACATATGTGTATGTGAGGAAAAATGTTCTGCAAATCTGTCACTACGCAGTCTAGTGCATTTTAAAGAGCTTCACTCACAACAAAGTCGCTCTCGTTTACAAAAGATACAAATTTTATTGCTAAAGAAGTTAAAAGTGCAAGCTTTAACTTTATTTAAGAACTTAATGTGTTCAGAATTTGTGAAATAAAGTTCAATATCATGCTTCAGGTGTAAAGACCTTTTAGCCGTTAGACCTTTTAGTGAATTATGATGTGGTATTAACTCAACTTATCTGAGAGTAAGCCCCATTGAATTCAGTAGGACTTACCACTGAGGAAATATGGCTACATTTGCAGCCTAATTCACAGACTCCTATACAGAGAATACACAAGAAACAGTGGTCACTTTTTCAGGGTTTTCTAAGAAGTGCTATTAACTTGCAAACTCGCCACAGTTCCTTCCTAAATAGACTGCGGAATATCTGCTGAAGTATTTACTGACTTCTGCATGGTGGCTGCCTACCAACATCTACTTTCACATCAGTGGGTAGAAGTTAATTTTTTCCATGAATACAAACCATAGCTAGACTTCTAAATGGCACATAAGTTGAGACTACTGTTGCCAAACTCAGCTATGCCAAAACAATATTTTTAGAGTACTGCACAAAGTTGAATCAGGAGTGATTCTATGGGCACAAGT